CCCCAAAACCCCAAAACCCCAAAACCCCAAAACCCCTAAATACCCTTTGAAATTGAATTAGCTATTATTAATTGAGCTTAATGGAGTCAGGTAGGATCAGAACTGTTGCACTTTTGTCTAAATCTATATTATGCCAAAATAATGTTTGCAAGCGATAAGTTATATTCTTGTATAGAAACCAGTCTTGACACAAAGGTAGACACCTATTAATATTGATTATTCCTTGGATTTTAGGAAGTTTCATATGCTGATAAATTTAGAGCGATTCTTTGTTCAGAATATACGGTAGTGGTAAATCACTGAAAGAGAAGTATTTCCCGTCGAGGAAAGGCAGTAGCAACTATTCATTGTTCAACCGGATAAATGGTATGCCTATAGATTAAATGGATTATCTATTTCTATCATGTCTGGATTTACCAAAATTTCTATAATCTCTACATTTTGTGCTGGAAAGCAGTGAATGTTTCTTACAAATCTCTTTGAAATTTCTTAAGCACAATTCCTTAGGGAAAAGAAGATCAATGAAAGTTTTCGAACCAATCAATATAAAACAAGTGAGACAGGAAATTAAGAAGCAACCAAAAAGAGGAAATATGTTTAAAGTCGAGACTAAAGACAGATGTAAGAATTCAGGATATGAATCACTTATAGCTGTAGCTATGGTAAAATAAGCTCAGGACCAAGATCGACTCGATTACGCAAAGTTCTATCAAGCTTAAGGTATTTCCAGAAATTCAAGAGTCAGTTGAGGAGGCTAAGGGAGATCAAGTAGATCAACATGAAATTATACAGAAGATTTCTAGACCTCTTAAGGCAAATACTGGCAAGTATTCAGATAAACCATGTTTTGCTAAAATGGATTTTGATTTTTAAGAAATTTTCTAAATTTTTAATTTTAGAGACTAAGATGAACAAATATAATTCAGTAGTTGTTTCTTCGAAAAACATTTTAACCAAAATCAAGGATAATGAGAAAGAACAAAATAAGAAGAATGTTGGAAGGCTAAATCCTATCGTAGATTTGGAGAACGAAATCTTGGAGCAAAGAAACACATTTGATGTATCCCGGAGATACAAATCTGTATCCAACAACCCCAGATGAGCTTCCCAAAGCAACACTTCTACTAAAACCAAGCGTATTTCTTCCCAATCCCACACCTCTATCAACAAAGAGCAGACTCGTAAGGACATCATAAACCTCATCAACAAGGTCCAATCTCGCCAAAAAATCCCCCCTCCCAACCCCTCCTCTCCATCCCACGTACTCCTTTTCCTCACCCTTAGCCCTTCCTTACCCCCTCAAACCCCACTCTCTCTTCCAAATACCGTCCTAAATTCCCCAAAATCCCCTTCCAGTCCCTCCAGAACTCTTCTCCAAAATGACTCTCAATTCCGAACCTTACTTCAGGCAGACCCCAGAATGGCCCTTTTGTGCCAGTTTTTAGTACAGATTTGGGATTTTTAAACTCTCTCAAGTCCAAACATCGTACTCGAAGAAAGTAATCCCCTTCCTAACCCCTCTAGCCATGCCAATGAAATCTCAAAAATAAACTCAGAAGGGATCTTGAACCATTATTTAAGCAAGTAGAGTCTCAACCAATAATTTTAGAAAAGGGGTTTTGGGGTTTTGGGGTTTTGGGG